AGATCATTCCATGAATACAAATTAGAGACATGTCAAAATAGATCATTCCATGAATATAAATTAGAGACATGTCGTAATAGACAATTCCATGAATACAAATTAGAGACATGTCATAACAGATCATTCCATGAATACAAATTAGAGACATATCATAATAGATCATTCCATGAATATAAATTAGAGACATGTCATAATAGATCATTCCATGAATACAAATTAGAGACATGTCAAAATAGATCATTCCATGAATATAAATTAGAGACATGTCGTAATAGACAATTCCATGAATACAAATTAGAGACATGTCATAACAGATCATTCCATGAATACAAATTAGAGACATATCATAATAGATCATTCCATGAATATAAATTAGAGACATGTCATAATAGATCATTCCATGAATACAAATTAGAGACATGTCAAAATAGATCATTCCATGAATATAAATTAGAGACATGTCATAATAGATCATTCCATGAATACAAATTAGAGACATGTCATAATAGATCATTCCATGAATATAAATTAGAGATATGTCGTAATAGACAATTCCATGAATACAAATTAGAGACATGTCATAATAGATCATTCCATGAATGCAAATTAGAGACATGTCATAATAGATCATTCCATGAATACAAATTAGAGACATGTCATAATAGATCATTCCATGAATACAAATTAGAGACATGTCATAATAGATCATTCCATGAATATAAATCAGAGACATGTCACAATAGATCATTCCATGAATATAAATTAGAGACATGTCATAATAGATCATTCCATGAATACAAATTAGAGACATGTCATAATAGATCATTCCCTGAATATAAATTAGAGACATGTCATAATAGAAATATTCCATGAATACAAATTAGAGACATGTCAAAATAGAACATTCCATGAAAACAAATTAGAGACATGTCATAATAGATCATTCCATGAATACAAATTAGAGACATTTCATAATAGATCATTCTATGAATACAAATTAAAGACATGTCAAAATAGAACATTCCATGAATACAAATTAGAGACATGTCATAATAGACTATTCCATCTTAAATCCAACAATGTTTTACGGCAATTTTTAACATCAACTTGAGATTTTTCTTGTTAAAAATTTTAACACATTCAAAATTATGGATAAAAAAATAGCGTATCTTATATAATATTTTTTCGAAACTTACCTTGAGAAAAGAAAATCATGTATTTGGACGAAAAGAAAAAAATACCACAGAATGACGTCAAAATCCGCCAGAATTTTTCATCCTTTAATAGTCAGCTGTGCTTTCTTTAATTTGTAACGTATATCGATGTAGGTAGGAAAAAAAAATAAAGGTTGCCAAAATAGTGAGTGTCCCAAAGCACTACCCAGTGCCCCAATCAAGGTTGCCCCCACACCCAGTCGGGCGGTCAGGATAGTACGCACCAGTTCTGCTGGTTAGTATTTAGCTGGGAAGCCGCTTGGAAACAGCGCGTATCGTAAGAATTAGAGAAATATAGCCCGACAAAAAAGTAAAAAAAAAAAAATTCAATCTTTGGAATGTGGAGAGGTGATAAAAAAGATGGTGGTATACATCATACATTTACTTGGCAAAGGAACGTCATTCAACTGGTATCTTTTCTGCTAATTTACCTCAAAATATTGATATCAGGTCATCCCATAAGTTCTGTCCGAATTTTGAATAAAGAAAACAAGTGACCAAATGTTACAATTAATTACAGATTCAATCAACAATGTATTTTCCCTGATTATCTATGACTTCCTTCCATCTATTAACAAGCTTACTAATTCCATTACTGTAAAATTCTTTTGGCTTTGATTCGAAGAACTCACAAATGTCAGTTTTAACATCTTCCTGTGTAACAAAATTTGTTTCTTCCAAATGATTCTGTAAGCTACGAAACAAATGGTAGTCTGAACGAGCAAGATCGGGAGAATAAGGTGGATGAGGAATTTTCTCCCAACCAAGTTCTTCGATCTTTTGTGACGTGATTCTTGCTGTGTGGGGTCGCGCATTGTCCTGATAAAACATCACCCCTTTTCGATTCACTAGAGCAGATCTTTTTTTCCTCAAAGCTTGGTTCAAACGCTCTAATTGCTGATAGTATATTTGAGCATCAATTGTTGCATTAGGTGGTAAGAATTCAAAGTCGATTATTCCTTGGCGATCCCACCAGATTGAAAGAAGAACCTTTTGCCCATGAAGTTCCCTTCTCGGCTGTGGCTGGGGTCCTTCCCCTTTACCAAGCCACTGTCTACGACGCTTAACATTTCGATAAAAGATCCATTTTTCGTCGCCAGTCACAAGTCTATCCAAAAAAGGTGAAACAAGTTGACGAGAATAGAGAGAAGAGCAGATGTCAACACGGGATTTGTGGTTGTTTTCAGACAATTCATGAGGCACCCATTTTCCAAGTTTAGGATCTCTTCCAAGTTGTTGAAGATGACGATGAACAGTTGTATGGTTTGAACTGAGAACCACTGCCAATTCCTCAACTGATAAAGCAGGATTCTCTTCAAGGGCTGCTTCAAGAAGCTTTTTCATCAAACTCAACTGGACGTCCAGTTCGATCTTCATCTTTATGGGTGAAATCTGCACCTCTGAATTTTGCAAACCATCTTCTGCAAGTTCTTTCATTCACACATTCCTCTCCATAAACTGAGTGAATGTTTCTAGCCGCTTCGGCTGGTGAGTTTCCTTTCTTGAACTCATAAAGCATAAAATATGTGCCTCAAATGATTCTTGGGTACTTCCATGTTAGCAGGGTTTTAATCAAACAAAATTTAATTTTATTGTTCTCTGAAATAAAATTTTATCAGTTTAAATGAATCTAAACATAAAAATAATGTTCATCTCCATTAGACATTATAAAATACTCTTTAAATTTCGTTCATTTTAAAAAAACGTAAAATTTGGACAGAACTTATGGGATGACCTGATAAATTGCAAAACAAAAAGAATTTATATTTACTAAAATTCGCACCAAATTCTCCCAAAGCGAGGCTCTTCCATTGCACTCTGGTTTCGTTACCTTTGTGATCACCCCAAATATGGGCGACTCGAGAGCGCTATTTCTAAGTGTGGGGTCTACGTTCGCGTTCACCCCGATAAACAAGCCAGAAAAAGATTTTTTTTTTAATTGTAAAAAATCGCTTGTAAGTACCTCAAATATCATCCGAACTTACGAAATGTGAATAACTCCCAGATTTTTGGTAATTTTTAATTTTGAGGGTTGGAGCTGTTGCGAGGCAAGCTAAACAAACTTTGATTTAAAATTTATAATTTCTTGGGGTGAATTAATATTTGCGATAAGTAACTTTACA